TACGTCGTGTACACCGAGCAGAATTGCCATTCATACATATGAATAATTAATTAGCCATAATTCCAAAACCCTTTGACCTTTAGTCATGAAATTTCTTGGGCATGTTTAGGAAGAGTTGCTCTATGCATGTGCTGAGTTTCAAAATTTATCGTCACTCGATGGCCGAGATCTTAGGGGGGGGCCGGAATCCGCCCCCCCCCCCGGCTGAGAGATGGTCAAAATAACCCGGCCCCTTTAGGGTTAAGGTAGTTTCATTTGTGTCCATGTTTTTCTTTCTCGGTCTAAACGTGCACCTGCATTCCCACAAGGAAGTACTTGCTTATATTCAAACATTTTCACTGCGATAGTCAGAGTGATGACTATTCAACTCGAATTACTCCAACAAACGGACATACTCGCAATAGCTTGGAAAATTTGCACCGGTGTTTTTCGCAACGTTTGTTTGAATCTCGCGATAAACAACTTAACGAGAACACTTAACGAGACTGGATCAAGAATGGCATCGCCCCTCGCACGCTGCATAACTATTGCGGGTTTGTGTTGCCTACTTACGCAAGGTTAGAAAACATGTCCTTTGTATGAATCCCATGTATGAAAACTTGGCCTTGTATGAGTTGTATAGAGTGAAATTATTGCTGTATTCATTTTAACATGATATGGTGCATACCTTCTTGCTTATCTTGTATACTAATTTGAGCTGTATCAGGATGAATGTACGTGCATATGTTATCAACCTGACCTTTTAAACTCTTATGTTATTGTCGCGTAGTCTGACTATACTGTTTATGGTTCCCAGGACCGGGAACATGAGAATCATTATAATGTTGTTTCCATGTCTCGTTTGCATATTTAATAACTATGAATGGCGCCAGGGAGAGGTCGGTTGACTGACCAATATTAGAGTCGCAGAGCAGTTTAAACTTCTGGTTTAAAACTGGTTAGGGACCTGTTCACTAAATAACTCTTTAGCCTCGATCTCAATAGAAATTTGATCATTAACCCTTCACACATTTGGTTCGTTTCTAATGATAACTCATCTCAAAGTCAAAACAAGAATAGTCACAATCTTACCCGTTGAAGCTTAAGTTGAGGGAATATTACATTACCTTTTTTTCGAGAAAAAAAGTGCGATATCATGTACAGTTAACCTTTTGACCATAAAACACAATCTCGTCAGCACTCCAGTGTTGTAGTCGAGTACTTTTTTTCCCGAGTACTGAGTACTGACGAGTACTTAAGTTGCCGAGTACGAGTACTTGTGCTTCCGAGGAAAAGAACAGGTCTCCGAGTACGAGTACTTGAACGTCCGAGTACGAGTACGAGTACGAGTACTTGTATTCCGAGTACGAGTATTTCCGAATACGGTGTGAAAGGTAATTCTGTCCCCCTGGTAAATGTGTCCCCGGACACATTTACCGGCTCGTGACCCGGTAAATGTGTCCGGGGGACACTTTTACCCGGGTAGATTTGTCCCCCTCCAGGTAAAAATGTCCCCCTGCCCAACGGTGAAAGTGTCCCCCTGGTAAATGTGTCCTCATGCAGTAGGTACTGAGAGCAGCAGCGTGGCGCGCGCGCCTGTACATGCTGCAAGATATGTGGCAGCGATTATCACATGTGTACATTGCGTCTCCCTCAACAATGGACATTCATCCAATATGTTGACGGTACACATACAAAAGTACATGTAACGTGCGTGAAAAAAACCCCAGCTGATTCGCGTTCTTGGTGTCTACGCATTTAGTCTGCTTTCCATCCATATGACTCTGTTTAAGGCTAGGCTGCTGTGGACCTGCTGCCGTAACCAGACTAGGAGCCGTTTATTTCTCCAGTCATGCAAATTGGCAATGGGGCTTGACCAGTATTATAGGTCCGAAATCGGGGTTCAGAAAACGGCTTTGCTCCAATCACCCAAGTTAATCGAACGCCCATTTTGAGGAACACCTCGGCGTACAGTGTGTACAATTATTGGTCATTTTGCCCACGGCAAATGGGTCATTGTGCGTAATTGGCCCAGGCCCAGTCAGACCTATATACAGACCAGTCACGGCTAGCTGTTGATTGTGTTTGTCCGGACGTACGTAGAATAGAGAAAATTTCGATTCTCTGCAATCGAACATTTTAAACTGAAAGTATCAATAAAATAAGGCCGTGGTAACGTAAGTGCTATACCATTTTTCATCGAGTACCGCTATTCGAGTACGAGTACTTTGTTTTATCGAGTACTGTTATTCGAGTACGTGTACAAGAAAAACAAAACAAAACATTATCCAAAATTAACCTTGTCGCTGACACCTACAAACTGTGAAGCAGCAGCGGCGGAACGGGTTTGAAACGGGGGGGGGGGGGGGGGGGGGGGGGTGGGGGCAGCACCCAAAATGGGCACTTGCAAACCAAAAGGGGCACTTGCAAACCCGTGCTGAAATGTCGCCAAGTTTTTTACACCGGACACTTGGCCTCCGTAAAATCAAATGGGGGGGGGGGGGGGGGGGGGGGGGGGGGACTTGTTCCATCTTCCAACATAGGGGGCGCTCTTCAAAACCAATGATTATATGCTAAACATACATTATGTGACCATTTTCAGGGCGTCTTGTATGGGTTTCGGGACTTCGTTTTCATATTCCTCGTTTATATCAAAAATATCTCTACCATTATTGCGAAATGGTTACTTCTAAGAAATACTAAGATACTTTAACCCTAAAGGGCCCGGGGGCGGAATTCGCCCCCCCCCCCTCAACATTTTCCGTGATAGCCTCAATTTTGTCGCGACCCGAGCTGTTATGACTTTTTAGCCTCGGGCTTTGCGCATCTTTTGATACCAAAAACATAAAAATCGGACCACGGGTTGCCGCGTAGTGAACAATTTTCCTACTCAATTTTCGCATATACGTCGTGTACACAGAGCAGAATTGCCATTCGTACATATTAATAATTAATTAGCCATAATTCCAAAACCCTTTTACCTATAGTCATGAAATTTCTTGGGTATGTTTAGGAAGAGTCACTCGATGGCCGAGATCTTAGGATTCCGCCCCCCCCCCCGGCTGAGAGATAGTCAAAATAACCCGGCCCCTTTAGGGTTAAGGTGTTTTTTTTTTATGTATCTCGAGGGGGCACATTCATGGCTGCAAAAGGGGCACTTGGGAAAATCTGGGGGGCAAACGCCCCCCCCCCCCCAGCCCCCCGGTTCCGCCGCCCCTGCTCTGAAGAACATATTATTCTCTCTCGTTAACAATAAATACACAGACGAAAACCGAAATGAATATTTTCTTGTTGAGTGACCATCTTTATAACTGGCCGGTTTTAAACACTTCTCAGCGGTGTTTTAACAGCGATTCATAAATACCTAAGACAGTTTACGCATTCCTATTGGTCGAGAGCCCGTCACGTGGCCTGTCTTAAACGGATGATAAAGACATGGCTAGCTGGTCTTAAACACTTTTCCAGTGTCACAATAAAATGTGAACTCCTAAAAATCCAGTACCTCTTATCGTTTCATTGGTTGAACGTTCACAATCCTCACGTAGGCATGCGCAACACTACCAGGGAGTCAGAAATTTATAGTTCTAAATTCAAAACGCAACGCGCAAGGTGCGTTCTGCGCGACATCGCGCAGAACATGATACGCGCGCGTCAATCTCCTTAAAAGGGTTGTTTACATCTTACTCGCCAGCTGAACACTCCATTATTTTGCAAGAGGGATGTTTCAAAAAGCATAAAGTGAATTTGTTGAACAAAATCGGGATGTTTTGAACGAATTATATGATTTTTTTTTACCGAAAAGGTATTTATGAATGGGAATAAATATGTGCTCCGTCGGTATTTATCACTCTGTTTAAGACCACTTAGAGTCTGGGTGCTGATAATTACCCTCGCCTCCGGCTCGGGTAATTATCAGCACCCAGACTCTAAGTGGTCTTAAACAGAGTGAAAAAAAACAACCTCCAGAGCACACATTTATTCCCTTATTTATAAAAACGCCCACCCGATCAACGGTGGTTGCGAAGGCCGATTTCTAAAGGTTACGTACTACTTTATTTTGAATGAAAGAACATGCACACAGACATGTGGATTTTCGCCGGCGAAATCTGCGCTTCGTCAGCACTGTTGTCCCCAAATCGGTCAAGCTGAAAACCATGCATGTGAGTTTGTTTAAAAAAAAATCCTCGTCACTAATTTCCCTTGGAGATAGTTTATGGTGTTACACAAGCGTTTGCAACAACAGATTGATCTGAAATTCGGAATATAGACGATATATTGAAATAACAACTTGAGGGGGTTCCTAGAAGTTGAGATAAATACATAGATTTGGGGACGTTTTCGAACGATTTCTTCCCAACTTTAAGGTCAGCTTTACCAGTAACCAGTATTGACGTTTCGGCATCGATGACGGCGATTTGTTTACTGACATAAAGTTTAGAATTTCTTCTTCCGCTATAATTTAACATTTATATCATACTGAGCATATTTTCTGAGAAACACAACGTTCAAAAAGCAATGGTTTTTTTTGGGGGGGGGGGGGGTTGCATGAACATCACTGCTCTGTTACAGTGTCCAAGTACGTAATAGGATTACATTTGTTCAACAACGGCGACGCTTAGGTCTTCGCAACAACACGGCTGGATTATGTATCCGGTCCGGTATCCGGTATGGTGATTTAAAATGTGACTGTTTCGAACCACAAACGTAGGCATTCAATACGCCCATCATGTATCAATAATAAGTCTTGGAAATAAATCTAAAGTCCCTTGTTCGGGGATGTGTGCCTTTACATTCTCACTGCCAAAAAACACACCATTTTTTGTCTTGCAGTCTGCAATGGAACTAGTGAAACAGTAACAGTAACAATGGAGTCTTTCGTAAGAAGTTTGCAGGGGAAAACAAAATCAATCGTGTGTAATAGTTCAGTTTCTGGTGGCGGATACACGTTTTTTGCCGCTTATTGGAGGAAAGGTACAGAGGACGGTACATACGACACCTCAGCCGCCGTAGTTAGCTACAACATGGTGTCAGGATATCTGTACGGTGGAGCAGACCCTAATAAGTATGCGATGACTGTAGACACCATCAGTAACATCAGTGTGCTGAATATTTCGTCATTGGAGTTCCCGCTTGATCAAAGCAGATATTGGTGTAAAGTTGAATTTGGCAGAGCCAGTGAGCCATTTTACGCCATGGGTTCCAACTCAACGATGCTGGAAGTAATGGGTAAGTCAAGAAAGTTGGTTGATTTCAATCGATACATTCTGAGGAAAATTGTGTTTCGTTACATTATGTTTTGATTCCTTAAATTTGTCTCGTCTCAGGGTGGCTTGGGTTGATTTGGTATTTTTTATAGATATGTCAGGTCTTTCTTTTGCAATTTAGAGACTCTTTGACTTTTCACTGAGAAGGGACCTCTGTAAATAAGGAATACCCTTGTTGGGTGGGGAAACCTGCCTCTGCCCCCCCCCCCTCCTCCCCAACCAACCTTCTGAGGCCCATGCCTGTGACCCTCAAAGGTGAAATATTCTATTTTGTCTAACGATTAAGAGAAGCTCAACACATTCAATTTTTTGCTTGAAATATGCTGATTGTTTTCCTTTTTGAATGAACTTGCCTTCTGCATTAGTTTTTCCAACCACGGTTATCTTATCGGACTCAACGGGAGCGTACCCATTCAGAGGTGGCACTGCATACTTTGTAGAGGGAGAAAGTCGGCAAATGATGTGCGTGATACCAGACACCAATCCATATCTTGGTTGGGGTATGTTTTACAGTGGGATAGTTTCAAATTTGACACTACGAAGAGAACTTGGGGTCAATAGCTTGACGACCGTCACTTCTAGCTTCACATTCACACCATGGACTTCACCTGGTGCATGGCTCGGCTGTTACCCCGGGTCCCCCATTTTTTACCAAATGTCTGTGGAGCCACCTGAGAGTATTCTGATGATTGATGTTCGAGGTAGGCATATAAATTTAAAAAAGCTTTGAAATGTTCCAATATTCTTTTCCTGTTAATTTGTTATTCAGTCCAGTCTATGTGTAATCCACAAACAAAGGCTTTTATGATACGTTTTGAAGTGCCACCGAAGGTCTCCAACATATTACTGTCTGACTCAAGCGGTGTGTCAATTGCTGGAGATTCAGTGACTGTTGACGAAGGTACATCCTACACCTTTACATGCCGAGCCCAGTCCAGACCAGCAGCTACCATCCAGTGGAATCTTGGTGCGAGCACTTACCCACAGAGTACGATCGGCCCGACCGTTGGAGAAGGGGATTGGCTGGTCAATGCTTCGAGCAACTGGACATTCACTCCCGGCCGAGCCAACCACGGGCAAACGGTGATATGCCTGGCGAGCACGGAAGATTCATATGAGCCATACCCGTCGGATATGGTCACATTGGAAGTAAATGGTATGTTGTCTTCTTATTTTAAATGGGCATTATCCGCGTGCAGACCTCCAGCTAGTTTTAAACGCACTTGTTTAATACTACAATGCATTCCCATTCAGAAATACATTTCGGTAGAAAAAAAAACCAAGAACAAATAAAACATTTGCAAATTGCCAACGATTTTGTTGTCAATTTTACTTCATCTTTTAGAAACACTTCTCTGGTCATCTCTGTGTTATGCGCCTCGCACTCGTAGTGCTAAAAAGCCAATAGACCTTTATCATGCCGCCACCATTTCAGTCATGTTCCCTGTATCCAATAACAGTACTGAATGATAATGGTTTTGGTGCAAAATGGAACCAGACTATTTTTTCTTCCAGCCTCGCCCTGGTTACGTTGATTTGAATGGAAAAAAATCAAGATGGCCACAACATGATAATGGTCTATTATGTGGAAATTGCCGCACGTTGCGCGTAGGGTTCTCTAAGGGGCGTGGCTAACTCGCAAACGGCGACAGGTCAATAGGAATTTGTAAACTATCTCAGGTATTTATGAATATTCATTAAAGTCAGTCATTCCATTATAGAAACATGAACATTTGCATGTTTGTGAGTCAAAATCATGTTTTTTTCACCAACTCGTCACGATATGACTTTGGACGATCCATGAATACATTATAGCGGCCAAACAACATTCCTGCCAAATTGTAAGAGAATGGGCCGTCATTTATAGAAATTAGCAAGGGGCACAATGTGCAACTCCCCGCAAAGAATCAAAATACCCTGGTCGTGATACCGTTAAAAGTACCAGTATAGTTTCAAAGATTAAAAGAAAATGTTTAATGTCATTTATATTTTCGTAATCCATTGACGTGAAAAAAGTCAAACCAAAATATTAGTCAAATGAGCAGTAGTGAGCTGTACAATTAGACTAATTGAACTTGGCTCCTTAGGTCCTCCTGATACCCCTGTGATAACCGGCAGCCCAATCGTGACCGAGAATGAGCCCACCGTGCTGACATGCACAGCTGACATGGGTTACCCGCAAGACTGGAGCCTGGTATGGTCCATTGGAAGCTCAGTCATAACTGGTTCAACTACAAGCCCGTATCAATCGGACGATCGCTTTGCATTCACGAGCTCGCTGGAATTCACGCCATCAAGAGAACTCAGCGGAGAGTACATATCGTGTGCTGCAACGAGAAGTCTGTGGACCCAACGTCCAGTGGGATTTTTAGGTCCCATTATTGTAAAACGTAAGTTTGATAATTTATGTTGTCTTCAAGTTAGACTTCGATGAATAACATTCCGGATTATTACCTGGCATAAACTCTTACATATATATATAGCCTGTATGTTGTCTATAATTATGTACCGCACTGTAGTACACGACCATAGTTCTCGTCCCGTAGGAGAAAGGACACAGCTGGACTGGACTAACTTAAAAAACAAAAACAAAACATATCCCCGCTATGCCTATTGAACAGCCAGTCCAGGTTATCATTCGGTTACTCGGTTGTGGTCAAAAAGTAAATTGTTTAATCATAACCGCAGGAAAAATATATGTTATAGAAAACGATATCGTTTTCACAACAATTTCGTTTTTGTGGTTTTTATATCCGCACTGTAGTACACGACCATAGTTCTCGTCCCGTAGGAGAAAGGACACAGCTGGACTGGACTAACTTAAAAAACAAAAACAAAACATATCCCCGCTATGCCTATTGAACAGCCAGTCCAGGTTATCATTCGGTTACTCGGTTGTGGTCAAAAAGTAAATTGTTTAATCATAACCGCAGGAAAAATATATGTTATAGAAAACGATATCGTTTTCACAACAATTTCGTTTTTGTGGTTTTTATATCCGCACTGTAGTACACGACCATAGTTCTCGTCCCGTAGGAGAAAGGACACAGCTGGACTGGACTAACTTAAAAAACAAAAACAAAACATATCCCCGCTATGCCTATTGAACAGCCAGTCCAGGTTATCATTCGGTTACTCGGTTGTGGTCAAAAAGTAAATTGTTTAATCATAACCGCAGGAAAAATATATGTTATAGAAAACGATATCGTTTTCACAACAATTTCGTTTTTGTGGTTTTTATAGGTTGCTCTTTCAAGAATGAATGCCAAAATTGTCAATTCTTGTCTGGATTTTGAGATTCGGAACCACGCCTGTGGCGAATCAGTCATAATAACAAATCCATAATTTGACATAGGCCTAGTGACGAACACAGAATTTCGCTGGTAACCAGCTAATGTAAGCGGTGCGTTCAAAGTACTAACGAATTCTATTCGTCAGTTTGCATACCAACTGACTAATATGCATACAAACAGCTAGTGTGAAGAACAACCGGCTATTACAGATTTTGTAATTTGACAAACTAACGAATACGTTTACGATCAAATGTGATCCGGGACATTTTGGTGTGTAATACCACACATTCTTAAAGATTGGAGATGAATGTACAATGCACAATCTAACAATCTAGAAAGCCTGACTTATAAGGACAACTGAAGACTTATATTTAAATGACTTAACATAATCCTTTCCAATTTTGTGTATGTTTTCATGGTGCTCCTCAAACTGATCTGTGTCGTCTATACATCAGCGGAAACGCCTTCAGCCGAAAACGGTAAATGCTGCTCCATCAACTTGTCTGAGAAATTTGTTTTATAAATTCAAGAGCTCAAGATCCTAGATCCTATCTGCAATTAATGAATGTAATCTACCATTTGTTTCCAGGAATCACAGTAGAGTTCAATTTAGATTCCGGCACTGTGACAATTGAAGGGTTGAAAGTGGTTAATGGATGCATCCAGTTGGAGGTAATACGCGAAGGCAGCGCCGCCTGGCAGAAGTGTGGGCGCTGTATCGCGTCAGACCAGACGGTGAAGCTCTCTGAATGGTGTGCATCTCCAGAGAAGCGAAGAAGACGAGCTGTAGCGGATGTAGTAGCCGTCCGCGCCAGACTATGCATCGGTGGTTTGTGCAGTGAAGCAGTACCTGCCAAACAAGGTAATGCTGAAACTGTTACGGAACAAAAGCCAATCCAGTTTAGAAAAACCAGAGTTATTGAGATAATCTGAATACTGGCTCCATTAAAAAGCCGAGAGAATTATACGATTATACGATTCTCGCAGTTTCTACCAGTCTGTCACGTGTATTAAACTTAAAAATGTGATTTTCAAGAAAGCTTTGTAAACGTTGACATTAAGTACCCACCAAAAGCGGCTAATTGATAACATAAATAAAGCACTATTCAGCCAAAAGTGTAAAATCATGAAATCTAAAGATGATTACATTGGGTTTTATATAACATTATTATGATATTGTCTAAAAGGTAACTTTTTACCACAAATCTGAGGCTCTATATATCATTTTTTTATATTTAAATTTCAATCTTAAGCAAAGTCTTCATTTTTCTTTGAGGATATTTGGTCATTCAATTGAAAAATCATTAGGATTGGATCATTTACCTCAAGAATTAATTAATTTTACCAGACCCTAAATAAGCCAGTTTGTCTTTTGTTTTCAACTCAACAAAAGTGGAAGATCCACCTGCATCAACGAGCAGCAGCATTAACTGGGTCGTTGTCGGAGCCAGCGTCGGTGCCGGGATGTTTGTCATGGTGTTTTCAATTGCGATTGGTGTCTGCGCAAGGAGGAGGTTTAAGAAACGGAGCAATGGTAACATGAATACTTTAGCCCATTCCGTTTAACACTTACTCGCATTAGCTCTCGTGTTGACAAAGTCATTGTCGTAATGCAATAATCAATTTAAAACCATACTTTTATCGAAAACAATGGAAATACCATAATGAATGGGCAGGTTAATTGCATGATTCCTTATTTTATTTTGAAAAGTTGAACTTTTTCTGATTTTGTGGCTTTTAAAACTGAAAATGTGTTATAAAAGGTTGCAAATACAGCCATTTACTCCAACCAACACGAGGTGAATCTGGGGATATCAACCTGATAACAAATTGTTAAGTCTTAAGTGCGGGACTTTTTTGACATAGAATTCGATTATGCTGGTTTAATCCGTGTATGGTACGTTTTAATTTTTGCTGCCTCTGTTCAGCTCGTACCTACTAAATTTATATAGAGACACTCTTATTACTTTTCTTTTTTACACATTCTGGTATCCTTGTGACCCTTCACCTCCCTGAATGCATAGTTGCAGTCATGTGACAGCCAAAGTCACATGACAGACAGAGTTATAGGCCTACACAGATGCGAACTAATGATTATCTGTTTTGTCCTATTTCTAGACGAAAGAGAAATGTCAACATCGACAGAGTGAGTCCATCAACTGCTTGTCTTATTTTGCAAGCTTAATACTAGCCTGATCGCTAATCATAGATTGAGCATTATAAAATTATAATAATTAGATAGAGCATTTTGCAATTTTTGTTTTGATGTATAGAAGCTATAGCCTCTATGCATAATGTTGTGTTTTTTTGCCTAAAGGAAAGAGCCGACACGACATCACTCGGGTCCACCGTCACCCTACGAGAACGTTACATTCGGTATGCCCACATCACTTTGGTTTTGTCTGTGACTGCATAATTTAGAAGCCGCATTGAAATGTCACCAGTGTTCAAGTTCGAAAATAACTATTCGAAAGAAGAATAGTTTCCATTCAGATCCGTAGTTTTCGAAATTGGTTTGATAGTCACACTGCAAAAACTGTGTTAAGCAATTAAACCCCTTTCTAAACACTTTCTTGCTATCAGTTTGTAAACATGTTTAAATACTAAACATGTTAAGAGTAAGGATGGATAGTGTTTAGCAATTCAACATTGATGTTTAGGAGTTGAACACATAATGTTTTGCTTCTAAACATGTTAACAAAGTGATAGCAAGATTGTGTTTCATTGCAAAACACAGTTTAAGAGCACAGATAATGAAGAAAATGCTGGGCTAGCAGCCCCAGATGATCGCAAAACCAGTTACAACACTTTCAAGAGTCCTGATAATCACTTAAAGTTGCGTATCCGTAAAACGTTTACCAAAATGTGTACCCTCCACTTGTTTAAAAAACTTTATGAGATTTTATGAGTACAACTTGGCATATGAGTGACATATAACCTATAGAAACTAGCACAATTTATTCACATTTAGAGGAGGTGTTTCTGCTGTGAAAAACATAACGGGTCTCAGTACAAGTAGATTTAGTCTAAGAACACAGTATAACGTCACCTCAATCTATAATTTTCAAGACTTCTTATTTTAATTGCAGAAATGGATACCATCGGTGAACCCGCAGATCAAAACCAAGTAGTGGTACCATACTCGAATGTTTCAATGGGACACCAAGCTATCCCGCGGGATCAGCTGAGGTCTGTCCGAGAGCTCGGACATGGCGCCTTTGGTCGGGTTTTTCTAGCCGAGGCCAGGGGTATCACAGAGGGGTTGAAAGTTACACTGGTTGCCGTCAAAACGCTTCAAGGTTAGTTGAAATTTATTTCATTCATCAGCGATCACAATTTATTAAATATTCAATGTTATATGTCATTGGTCACAGCTGGTATCTCCGTTTCATTGTCGATCCTGTCTTACATCTAACATGACCTGTGTTTTGATATTAGTTAACTCAAATATGACCATATTATTAATCTTAAGATTAATCTCCTTTTAGTTGTAACAACAAAGTTGTACCTAATGGAGACTCCTCTCGGTTAACGATGTTACATTAGAGATACATTGGTCATTTATAGACCTTTAAGTATCTATCTGACGCTCTAACTGCCAATTCTAGAACGGGTTTTAATGATGCAGTTTCTGAACACTATTCCGTGGGTCGACAATAGTACAATTAAACAATTTTTTTAGGAAGGTGAGGGAGTATTTCTAAATGGAGTTATGGGAAGATAATTTTGTTTGTGTACAAGCCTATGGCAATGAGGTACCAGTTATTACTATAAGAGATCTTACAAATATTGAAAAGTAAGACTAGAGCATTTCAATTATTAATGATAATAAGTGCATTATGCACTTAATGCATTAGGTGACAGATATATTGGACAAGTTTGTTTTATTTTCTATTGTATATTCTTAGATGGAGCCAGCAAGAGTGATAAAGCAGATCTCATGAAAGAACTTGACTTGATGAAGAAGCTTCCAGACAATGCAAATGTAGTCAGGCTCCTCGGATTCTCCGTGGAGAAAGGTAAAACATTTCATTATATAAGGCAGTGTGATCAGTGATCTGGCTGTTAATCGATCATGAACTTGAACGCCATGCCATTATGCAATGGCAAAGGAGGTTGCGAACATGAGGTCCTACGTCTTGTCTTGATTCTTCTTCTTCATTCATTCATTTTCATGATGACTTGATGAGTTGGGTCCAACTGTCCCTGTCGAGCATAATGTTGGAAAGAGATGGACCACTCAGACCAGTTTCTAGCTCGATGGATGTTTTCAGGCTCATCTTTGGACGACCTTTTCGTCGAGGGGCTTCAGGATTGTCTTGGTTGATACTGTCTTTATAGAGCTCTGGTTAATGTCACAATATCACGATATGTTTTGGTTAATTGTAATGTCATTGTGCAAGCTCTGTGTAAGCCTAAGGTTTTTTTCCTCCAAGTTTAAGTGTCTTCTCAAGTTTTATTATGAACTCTTACTATAGCAGATAGCTGGGTCTGCATGAACAGCTTTTACCCATACATAAACACCGTAATTATACAATCCATGTTTAAACCAATATGGATAGCGCAGAATGTCTGTGCTAACGCTTATAATAGTGGAGAAGACAATATTTAGAGAAAAGGCTATACTAAAAAAAAAATAATAAGAGCGATCTCTCATCAAACCCTTTCGTCAGATCCGCCGTACATCATCGTGGAGTATCTGTCGAGGGGGGACCTCAAGACCCTTCTGCACAAACATATCGGTAAGGTTGGGCGTGTCTACAGCAACCTGCACGGGGGCAGTACTTCCTTGACCGCCAAAGATCTGATGAAGTTCGCTAAGGACGTGGCTGATGGGATGGCGTTCATCTCTTCCCAACAGGTAACGACGGACTGATGCTGTATTACTAGGGGCGGTTATTTTAGAAACCTATTTGCCTCTCTGACTTCGTCTCCAAATATTAAAGGGAATGTACATCATTGGCTTTCACTGTAATTTTCAGAAATGAACTAGTTGAGGGGTTAGTACAATAGATCAAATTATTGTTACACTGACATGTTTGAAGTTTTGTGTCCGAAAATGCTCGAAAAAACCAAGAAAAACAAAAATGTTCAAGTAGTTTGGTTCCCTGACTCCACTAAAGATGAAATGGATCAATCTATAGATGCCGCAAAATTGTAAGGTAAGGGAACCAGTCTAGCTGGCCTGCACCCATTCATGAACATGTTACCAATAGCAAACACAATTTGAACTGAAACAAATGGTAAATATGGAGCAGTACTTGAACAACAGTTAGGTTTTTCCAACGGTGGTCGGCCGACCACCGTTGGAAATGTATAAAAAAAAATACCATTTTCTTGAAAATGACTTCACACCAGGTGCCGTAATTTTACAGAATGCTTGTGATTGTCACTTACCAACATCCGAGTAAGGTATTTTGTAAAATTTTGGTAGTTTGATTTTTCGATGTTTGCAAATGTTGTATATTCCCTTTAAGTAAAATTTTTCTTGACTTGTACACAGTGCATTCACAGGGACCTAGCTGCCCGTAACGTGCTTGTGGCCGAGGACATGACGTGTAAGGTGTCTGATTTCGGACTTGCTCGTGACGTCATGAACATCAGAGTTTACGAGCACCGATCACAGGTAAACACAACAATGTTAATCTAATTGTTAAATAAAGCAGCAAACATGGCTTTTGTACATCCATATCATTTTGATAAATTAAGGTTCCAAAATTGAGCATTTTTACCTTGCCTGTTTCCTTGGAACTTTGTAATGTTCAGTTTAACGATTCTTAAGAATGACTTCAAACATATTTATGGTGGGTAGTTTGCTAGAGCAATACTTTTCAAAAACATATATTTTCTCAGGGTCGCTTGCCTCTTCGATGGATGGCGATTGAGTCCCTAATCCACGACGTGTACACAGCAGAGAGTGACGTATGGTCTTATGGCGTACTCTTGTGGGAAATCGTCACCCTTGGTGAGTCAAGTCAAAGCGATTTGTAAGATGTAAACAGTTCCTTCAAGAGTTTTACATTACAATATATGAAAAAAATGTACGTGCTTTACAGAACAGGAGAGTGAAAGTGTATTAACGTTGCAAGACTGGTCAAGCTTGCTGGGCAAACAATTGTTATCATTAATAGTTTTTCCCTTGATTCTAGTCTCAGTAATGATAACTGACTTCATTGAGTGTCTTTTGTTCACTGTAGGAGCTCGTCCATACCCAGCAATGACTACTGAGATGATGGTGGAAAAGCTTCAATCCGGCTACCGCATGCCCAAACCAAAAAACTGTCAGCTGGAACTGTAAGTTCCTTGGTTGAAAATTACGGGCAAATTCAAGTATTTCAGTAATAATTGAAATAAATTATTTTGTTCGTTTATTTATGTGACCTCCGTAGATTGAACTTTTTCTTGGCGTTGCAAACAAATTGAGATACTTTAAGTAACATTTATTAAACTTCAAATTACAATTTGCGGTATTACTCTCTTAAATAGTACATAACTAATCGACACCAGTCTTTTCGCCTAGCACATGAACAATATTTTGGCAAAGGAAAAGATGTTATAGAGTGAAACATTCATTCACCAATCATCTTTGTTTGCTCGTTAACCTATACATTTCCATAAAATTGAATATGTATGGACATATTATATTTAAGAACCAATGCCCTGTATGAAGACAGTGCTCAACTTAGCAAAGATAAATTGAGCCATTTTGTTGTCGGTCATTGATTTGGATTTGTGCTCGAAATCATTAACTTTAGATATGACATGATGTTGGCATGTTGGCAAGAAGACCCTGGGGATCGACCCTCGTTTGCGATGATCAGCGACGAGCTGAACAAACGTATGAATGTGGGAAAGGTAATTTTAAAAATAATCTGATAGTAAAAAAAAAGTTTCAGTCTTGACTCAAAGATTAAAATCCCAATTGTATTAAAATGCCTGTGTGTCATCTGTAATTCTCACGGAGTGAACACAGGCGCGGATCCAGAGCGGAGGGGGGGGGGGGGTGTAAACCCCCCAGCTCTGACTCAATTGTTTTTGTGTCATAGAAATACATTTAAAAAATAATGTGAACCCCCCCCCCTCCCCCTGCTCTGGCACCCAAAACAATTATGAAAATAATACTGGTAATAATATTTGCCTGTACACAAACTACGGTCTGAGTCAGCTCGGGTGGGGGGGGGGGGTTGTATTTTTACTCTATTCTGTAATTTAGTGTAGATGATCGTCGGATTTGAACAGCGCCCCATTGAAAGTTTGGTAGGAGTCCCCCCCCCCCCCTCTTGATTTTACGGAGGCCAATTGTCCGAAAAAAAAACCACTTGTCTACATTTCAGCATTGAACTGCTAATGGCACCCCCCCCCCCCCACCTGCAAAAACTCCTTGATCCGCTCCTGTAATAATTGGTTCTTTTAGTAAAACTTGCACAATTTGTGATAGTATAGATCAATTTCATTATTTTAGTTTCAGATGAGTGAAAGAACGTGCTCTTTAAATACATACATCCTTGGTGCATCAAATTTGATTGCTTTTGAAGAAGACAAAAAATCACTAATCATTTTTTTTTGGCTCGCCCTGTTGTCTCTGGTGCCTAGTTGCAATTTTATATTGCCTTGTTTGTGTCAGTGTGTGTTTTATCATTATGAATTGAATTTTGTTCACAGGAATGCATCTCCATGAGAGACTACGAAGAAACTATCTACGAGGTCACTCTCCCGATAGGCGAACACGAAAGGGTGTAGACCATAACAAACTGACAAAAAACAGCATCCCGCTAAAAAGTAATGCGGACATCAGACAATCCCAGAAATGTTCGACTTCACACCCTTGTCCATTTGAGTTATCCTTTCCCGAAGACGTGCCTTGTGTTGCCTTATTAGTTGTTGACTACCAGACCATGTCAGAAAAAAACATCTTTAATTTCCTAATGGATAGGACGATCTGTTTCCACTCCTTAAAGGCATTGCTATGCCCAAGGTTTATCTAGTTCCATTGTGAAACTTAGTGTTCTTATCATTCCCTTCTCTTGACTACCAGACTATGTCAGAAAAAAAACATCTTCAACTACCTAATTGAGTACGACAATCTGTTATCACTGTTACTAGTGTGAAAATAACTGTTCATATTATTCTCTTCCTGTTGTAGCTTTAATTGTGTACGTTCTTATTTTTTGGCATTGAAAAAAAAACTGTGCAAGCGACAAGAGTTCTACATTGTATCTGGAAAACCTTTGTAATTTTTTTTTGCTAGTGTTGGAGTCGAGTCCATCACAAGTCCCCACAAAAAAGTTCATCACAATTCCTTCAGTCTCAAGCCACGTCACTAGATTTTCAAATGAACTGTAACAAAAGAACTTTTTTTCTCTTTGTTCCTTCCGTTACCTTTGTCATGACTTATGACTGGACTTATGTGAAGGACTGGTGAAAGGACTTGTGATGGACTCGACTACAACACAGTTGTTTTCTTAAACTTCTTTCTTAAATGTTTTATTTGTGCCAATCGAATTAAATGATTGCTATATTAGAAACCTAATTGCAGGTTAGAGCAATTAATGTTACTTGAATTTTCAACTGAGCTTATTTACTCAGGATTTGTTAAATTCTTGTTAATGTTTAATTTGTTTTAACAAAATATTGAGAAAAATGTGACTTTAAATCTAATAGTAGTTGTTACAAGAATATGTTACAACTCTTATAATAACGCACTAAGTGTTTATTTAGTTTTAGCTCATCTGAGTAGTATAGCATATGCACCCCAGTGCAGCACATTATTGTATAATGTCTATGTTGTATTCAGATAACTAGATAATGTATATATTGTATTAAGATAAATATTTGTACTTTTTGAAAAGTCATTGGTTGTGGATATAACCGTTGACTTACTAAATTATCAACATAAAAAGATATTATTACAGCCGGGAATCTCACCGCACACGAGAGTTATGTGCTGAGCAAAAAAGTCATTCGAGACAGTTTGCTCAGCACGTAGCTCATCGTTTGCGGTTAACTTTTTGCTGCGTTTTCTGCCTCGCGAGGCAGAGAGGCAAATAACTCAGGAGGCGAAAAGCTCACCACGTGCGGACAACCTGAGCTACCTGAGCAAAAAATTAAATATATAATTAACTAGCCAATGAAAGCAAATAATGTGTACACTTGATTTCAAGATGGCGGCATTGTCAGCGACTATTTTTTAGGGGACAAGCTGGTTGATTTGTGACCAGATTATCCTAGTTTGTCGGTCGCATGACTTCAAAAAAAGGGACAAACGCCAGCAGGTTTTAGGAAAAAAACTGCAAATTAACTGGACCAGACAGGTATTATACTGTTATCGAGCACATAATATGGCGTTTGTCCCTATTTTGGAAATTATGCAATCGACAAGCAAGGATAATCTGGCCGCAAATCAACCAGCTTGCCCTCTAAGATATAGTCGCTGTCAACGTGGCTGACACTTACGTTGGGGGCCGCCATCTTGAAATCACGTGAACAGAGTGTGTGCTTTCATAGGCTAGTAAATTGTTTTGGCTAAGCTATTCCTTTTTAAAGTTTCAAAATATCAAAACGTAAGTGCCTTTTAACATAGGGGTATTTGTTACGAGTAAATACTACAAGTCCTTATAACGCACTAAGAGTTTACATGTATTTAGCTCACCTGCATGGTATAGCGTATGCACGAAGAATACACAGATATTATATTATGTTTATGTTTTGGAAAGTTATTGCTCGTTGAGGTATTTTATGTACTTTATTTGTATTGCTTCAATTATGAAAATGACATGAAGCTTATGAGATCGTGAAAGGGTATTTTGAACCGTATTGGAACACTTTGTTATTGGTTTGATCTAAATAGATATAACCAGTTACTTATACGATACTACTAAAAAGTATAAATGTTTGAACAAACTCTCGTGTAAGAAAATCCTTTATATTGTTATCTCAGTTCAAGGAATTCATTTTGTTTTCTTTACATCCTTGAGAAGTTGCAAGATAAAGCAACTCGGTATTTCGTTTGTTTTCTGTATTTACAAATTTCAGAACAGGAGCAACTTGTATCATCCTATACTGTTGAACCATTCGGTGGACACTATTTAAAAGACAACTATTTTGTTGAAAATTATCATACATTCCCAAAATTGTAAAGTGAGCTTTTTTATGTGACATATAACTCCAAATTACAAAGACATATACAAATACAAAATTTAATTAAATGCTTGCACGTTTAATATTTTTTGTTATAGTTTGTACAGTAGATGTTTAGCTTTGGGGTGTTAAGAGATGGAAAGTGATTATATTACTCGTTGGTAACCTAAATTTATATAAACCAGTGTAAAACATAAGACCATAACAGAAAAGTCATTTATGGGTTCACTCAACTTCACTGGTCTCTGACACAAATAACAACTCAAAGTTTGCAACTGGTGTGGGTTAAGGAGTCCCTTTTTTGTTCTATTTTTGTTTTAGTTGATATTTCTCTTTACTTTTAATATTTTATAAAATAAAAAATTAAATTGAAGAATTAAATGATGGATATATTTATCCACAACTATAAATAATACGGAAAATTAAGTATTGTTTTGCTTTCTCTTTACCGAGTTTAACCTTGCCTTGATGAACAAAGAAATGAGCAAAGCGATCATTGCATTCCAATGAACACCGTCCATTACTCCCTCAGCTCCTACTACCGATTCTCTCAGCTTCGTCGCCTCGCCGGCTTCTCTGGGGGTAGGGTGACTGGGTTGGGGAGAAAAATAGAATTCTCCTCCGAGTCGTAATCTTAAAATGAAAGGGAAAAGAGAAGCAGGAGAGGATTTTTTTCAGAGCTCTGGTCCTTAATTTGCACACATGTACAATTAAATTTCCTGTTTCTTGTTTAATAAGCAATGACGACTACTTCAAATAACAATCGCAATTTTAACCTGTACAATTTTTACGCGCGGGTGAGCGTATTTTTTAAGGCTTTTATTGTCTGGGTCACGCTTCAATACAGGGCTAGTGCTTGCGCAGTAGTACAGGAAGTAGGCAATTTCCGTTCCCTGCACCCCTGTGTCGTATCAATTCCTGAATATCGAATACTGTAGGGTGAAGCTTTTTGTCCAAAACTGCGTGTGAATCATTCTATTTACAAGCACACTTAATTAATAATAACTGCTTTGCATCATGCACTGGTGGTAAATTACCCGCAGTTGTAATATTGCAAATTTAATTTCAAGTTTTTGAGAATAGTCAGTGACCGGAAAATTCGACAGCTTTATTGTTTACCAGGTTGTCAAGTGTTCTCAATAATTATTAAGAACACACGTAGACTCGAGGACAAGTCACTAGATAGTTTTTTTTTCTGTCGGCCCCCGCAGTCTCTATCAGCACGGCTCAGTGTATCATGGTTATTATCATTATGCTGGGTTCAACGTGTCTTGCGACTTGACTAGCATTGTTTCGGACGGGTATTCATGTACGCACCAAGCGAATTGCTTGTGCGTTTAATACGTTTTCATATAGAAGGCCAATGATGATAGCTCACCTGTAGTGGGGATATCTTTCTCTAGATAAGTGTACGTTTCTCTATCTTTTTCCCCGTAAGATTCTAATTAAACTATTAAACTGAATGGTATAATTATTATAAATTTCGAAATTATAATATGGCAAATACGAGTTTTCCGAATGAGAAAATAATATGATGGAATACCAAACGGCTGAGGAATTAGCCCACCACCCCTCGAGGAACGGGAATCACTCCAGACTGTATGCCATTCTCTAGGCACAGAACACACATACATCCACGCACTAACATACGAGTAAGCTGAAAGGTGTAATGTGAATATTCATAGTCTCCTAATTCGTAACAAATGAGACTAGTCCTGAACCAACTGTGGTAGCAATACGTTGTGTACAAGCCGAGAACAAGTTATTCAAGCCAGTAATTCGCCGTACACGCATCATGGGGTCAAGGGTGCACAAACTGTCCCCGCATGTAAGCACGCTGCTCCTACAGTGGGACCACACGTTTTGCTGTATCTGTCCATGTCGAGGCGCGGTGTTCGGAGGGCGAACAAAACCCGGCCAATTGCCGACTTGATTTCAAGTCTAGGCCACACGAAGAGAGCGGTCTTGCCAATATCGATTCCTGAACATCTACCCTACGGTCAAGGCTATCATTTAATCATGGTTGCTCGCAGAAGCCACTACGCGCGCAATACAACGCATGCACGGTCGAGGTACCCCCCCCCCCCCTCCTCCATAATGACTCAAAGCCAATTAAAAGTTCTGGCTCCTCGCCATATCTATCGCTCCTTCTTACTTGCTGAGACACGAGCGGGTGAGTATTCGCGCTCCCGACCTTCTGACGGATTCTAATTGATTGCATCGGTGAGGATGGACGGGGCAACAGCTTTGGTTCTAGTGCTATCATCAGTGACAGGTAGGCTTAAAGATTTTTATTATGTCTTTCTGAGTTCTTTTCAACAGTCATGCAAGGAAACTGTATTACACTATCTTTTCAAACTTTCATATCGCGAATGCGACAGCGAATCATGTTGTGTTCAGGATGGACGGTTTAATTCTTCAAGCGAGTTTGACGTCAAGGAACATTCTCTGCGAAATTCGCCGCAGTTGGAATGCATTCAACTTTTTCAAATTTGCAGCTCGTATACTTATCGTGAGGTTGCGGAACCATTGCAGGAAGTTTCATAGAGGGACACATTGTGCCTCTCCAAGTCCTGATATGGATAACATGGAAAAACAAAAGTTGCTTCGGCTTAAGACATTTAAAGGAAGTTGAATTGAACACCCGATAGTCAGTCCGGTCTCCATTGAAAGCCTTACTAGTTGAATTGTGTTTATGTTTACCCGTCTGTAAAACATTTCCGGACGAAACTTAATCTTAGCTCTTATCAAATTGAACAAGAAATATCTGTTTATTTAAACTTCAAAATATCTCACAATAATAATGTTGTCATAATAATGGTAAGGCCAAAAAAAAATAGTCGGTCTCTGGTCATACCGAAGTTCCGGAATTGATGCAGCGACGGTTTTTTTTTGGGGGGGGGTGGCTTTTTTTTTCAAGCTTGAATTGTACAGACAAGGTGGGTACTATTTTGCTTCCTCATTATACATTGGTGTCCTCCGTAATTTGCCTTGGTGCCCTTTATCATTTGCCTTGGTGCAATTTCCCCATTCCTTGGTGCTA